TCATTATTATTTTTAGAAGTATAAGAGAAAATATTAAAATAAGAGCAGTATACTATCAAAAAAAAAAAAAGACTAAAAGGAGATAGGGAGCAAGCACAGGTATGCTTTCTCAGTAGAAATGAAAAACTCAAAAAAACAAAAATGAAAAAAGAAAAAGAGAAAAAACACTGGAACATTGGAAGACCAGTTTAAAATGTTCAATATCTGAGTAAGAAGAGTTCAAGAGAAAACCAAAGAAGAAAAAAGGGGAGAAGAAAGTCATCAGCAAAATAATGCAAAAGTAGTTCCCAGATTGCAGGGGTTCACCAATTACTCACAATGATGGAAAGGATTCATCAAGTACTCAGCATCAAGTGCCTCACCACATTAAGGCAGATTATTGTGAAATTTCTAACGCTGAGGGAGAAAGAAAATAACTTACAACATGAAAAATCAGTAATCAGAATGGCTTTGGTCTTCAAGAGCAATGCAAGAAGCACGGAAGAAACTAGATAACAATGGAATTTGCCTTTAAAATTCCAAAGGAAAATTTTCAAGTTAAAATTCTATACCAGCCATACACAATCAAGAGTAAGAACAGAATTTTCAGCCTCTTAGGATCTCAAAGTTTAACTTACATAAACCCTTTCACAGGCAGCTACTTGGAGAACCTGTTCTGCCAAAACCAAAGACTAAATCAAGACATGAGATCTAAAAATACAGGTAATCCAACACAAAGAGGTAATGAGTATCTCTAAGGTCCTGGGTAAAGGGAAGTCCCAGGAAAACAGGTATGCATAAATCCAGTAGGCAACCAGTCTAGATGGTAACATGTCTTCAGGAATATGAAGCTAATAGAATACTTGAAGTGTCTGACCCTCCTGAAAGTAAATAAGGACAAGTTACAATTTGAACTAAATTAGTGAGAAGTTCATAGAAAAGTAAACAAAGAAAAATATAAATTTCATGGAAAACCAAAAGTAATAAAGTAAAAGTAGTCACAATTACTACATGGCTTAACTGTGAATAGCAATTTCAGTCTTAATGGGTCAACACTGAATACCAGTCTAAGCAACGTTATAAATACCTGTATCAGGGAAAGGGGAGGGGGAATTGCTAGGGGTGAGAAGAACTAAATCCTCATGTGCCACAATGGGAAATCAAAAGGAACACCTGAAGCTGAGAAATCAAGAAATCAGAACACAAGAATGCTGTTAAGAACATGCCTGTAATCTCAGCTACTTGGGAGGCTAAGGCAGGAGAATCGCTTGAACCTGGGATGAGGAGGTTGCAGCGAGCCAAGATCATGCCATTGCACTCCAGCCTGGGCAGTAAGACCGAAGCTCTGTCTCAAAAACAAACAAGCAAACAAACAAAACAAACAAAAAAAACACGAAGGTAAATGCAAAAATAAGCTAAAAGAAAGCCTCCAGGAGGGAGAAGTGGGAGGACAAAGTGAGAGAAGACTGCTGCTTTTCAAAACAACTCTTAAACAGCTATCAACTAAACAACACACATTTAATACTTCAATAAAAAATACAATATAAAAGCATAAGAATAGTGATATAAGTTCAAAACATTTTAGTTCATGTCCTTTTTTTCCCCAGATTAAATTTTTCCAACAAGGTTTTATTTTCTCCTTTATTGTGTTCTCTAATTTTTCTAAAACAAAAATGTACTGCTTGTATAATAAAAACTTGATTATCTTACCACTATCTTTGTATACATACCTGTTGCTACTGTCTGATAGTTAAATCATCTGTAACTCCATTATTTTCAGCTGTTCCTATGTCATATGATACCCCAGTCGGTTCCCAGGGAATGGACTCAAGGTGGGGACAAACACATGTATGACACCCAACCTGGCACACCTCAGGAAGACGGCAGCTTCCCTTCCAGGAGACAGCTCAGTAGTTTACACCAAGGTGTGTACTTGGGTACCTCTTTATCTTACATTGTTTCCTGCTGCAAGGGTACATACAGTCTGTCAAAGCACCGTAAGATGTTTCCACTTAAGTTGTGAGAAATTGATAAACACAATAAACTCTAGAATGTGCCTTAAGGTGGCAACCAAATCAATTTTTTTTCGTATCTTTATTATTCCCAACACTAAATTACAGGTTTTCAGGGCTGGGCACAGTGGCTCACACTGTAATCCCAACACTCTGGGAGGCTGAACTAGGAGGATCATTTGAGCCTGGAAGTTGCAGACCAGGTTGGGCAAAAAAGAGAGACCTCAGCTCTCAAAAAAATTTTTATAAAATTAGTCAGGCATGCTAGCATGCCTGTGGTCTTAGCTGCCTGGGAGGCTGAGATGGGAGGATCACTTGAGTCTGGAAGGTCGAGGGTACAGTAAGCTGTGATCAAGCCACTGCACTCCAGCCTGCATGGCAGACCAAGGCTCTGTCTCACATGTAAAGAAGTTTCTAGTGTATGTGATATAGTTAGGATTTGTGTCCCCAGCCAAATCTCATCTTGAATTAGAATCCCCACAACCCCTGAATATCAAGGGAGAGAATACATATGTTCTCCTAATAGTGAGGTGAGTTTTCACGAGATCTGATGGTTTTATAAGCATTTGGTAGTTCCTCCTGCGTCCATTCTCCCTCCTGCCACATTGTGAAGAAGGTGTCTGCTTCACTTTCTGCCATGACTGTAAGTTTCCCCTGGTCTCCTCAGCCATGTGGAACTGTGAGTCAATTAAACCTCTTTTCTTTATAAATTACCCAGTCTCAGGCAGTTTTTTATACCAGTGTGAGACCAGACTAACACAGTAAATTGGTACCGAGAGTGGGGCACTGCTATAAAGATACCTGAAAATGTAGAAGTGACTTTGGAACTAGGTAAAAGGCAAAGGTGGGAACAGTTTGGAGGACTCAGAAGACAACAGGAAGATGTGGCAAAGTTTGGAACTTCCTAGAGACTTGTTAAATGGCTCTGACCAAAATGCTGATAGTATTTTACCTCCTGGACAATGAAGTTCAGGATAAGGCCGTCTCAGATGAAGATGAGGACTTACTGGAAACTGGAAAAAAGGTGACCCTTGCTATGCTTTAGCAAAGAAACTGGCAGCATTTTGCCCCTACCCTAGAGATCTGTGGAACTTTGAACTTGAGACAGATGATTTAGGGTATCTCACAGAAGAAATGTTTAAGCAACAGACTTGGGTGCTCTTAAAAGCATTCAATTCTTTGCATTCACAAAGTGATAGTATGGAATTGGAACTTATGTTTAAAAGGGAAGTACAGCATACACGGTTAGAAAATTTGGAGCCTAATGATGTGACGAAAAGAAAAACCTATTTTCTGAGGACAAATTCGAGGCAGCTACAGAAATCTGCATAGTAACAGGAGCCAAATGTTAATTGCCAAGATAATGGGGAAAATGTCTCCAAAGCAGGGCAGAGATTTTAACAGCAGCCCTTCCCATCACAGGCCTGGAGACCCAGGAGGAAAAAAATGGTTTCCTGGGCTACACCCACAGCCGTGCTGCTTTGTGCAGTCTCGGGACTTGGTGCTCTGCGTTCCAGTTGGGGTGAAAATGGGCCAGCGGACAGTTTAGGCCATTGCTTGAGAAGACGTAAGCGTCAAGCCTTGGCAGCTTACACATGGTGTTGGGTATGTGGGTGCAAAGAAGAATTTAAGTTTGAGAACCTCTGCCTAGATTTCAGAAGATGTATGGAAACACCTGGATGATCAGGCAGAAGTTTGCCGCAGGGTGAGGTCCTCGTGGATAACCTATGCTAGGGCAGTGTGGAAGAGAAATGTGGGGTGGAAGCCCCCAGAGTCCATACTGGGGCACAGCCTAGTGGAGCTATGAGAAGGAGGCTGCCATCATCTTCCGGACCTCAGAATGGCAGGGCCACTGACAGCTGGCAACATACATCTGGAAAAGCTACAGACACTCAATGCCAGCCCATGAAAGCTCCATGAGGGGGGCTGTACCATGCAGAGCCACAGGGGTGGAGCTGCCAAGGCCATGGGAGCCCAAATCTTGCACCAGCATGACCTGGATGTGAGACATGAAGATCATTTTGGAACTTTTAATATATTTTTTTTTGAGATGGAGTCTTGCACTATTGCCTGGGCTGGAGTGCAATGGTGTGATCTCAGCTCACTGCAACCTCCACCTCCTGAGTTGACAGGCTTCTCCTGCCTCAGCCTCCCAAGTAGCTGGGATTACATGCACACACCACCACACCTGGCTAATTTTTGTATTTATAGTAGAGGTGAGGTTTCACTATGTTGGCCAGACTGGTCTTGGACTCCTGACCTTGTGATCCACCCACCTCGGTCTCCCAAAGTGCTGGGATTACAGGTGTGAGCCACTGTGCCAGACCTGGAACTTTATGACTTAATTAATAATTAGCTGGGCATGGTGGCAGACACCTGTAATCCCAGCTACTCTGGAGGCTAAGGGAGAAGAATCCCTTGAATCCAGGAGGCAGAAGTGGCAGTGAGCTGAGATCACACCACTGTACTCCAGCCTGGGAAACAAAAGCAAAACGCCCTGTCAAAAAGACAAAAACAAAAAAAGGATTTAATGACTGCCCAGGCAGATTTCAGTCTTGCATGAAACCTATAGTCCCTTTGTTTTGGCCACTTTCTCCCATTTGCAACAGGGACATTTACCCAATGCCTGTACCCCCCAAGGTATCTTGGAAGTAACCAACTTGCTTTTGATTTTACAGGCTCCTATGCGGAAAGGACTTGCTTTGTCTCACGTGAGACTTTGGACTTTAGGGTTAATGCTGGAATAAATTAAGACTTTAGGGGACTACTGGGAATGCATGATTGGCTTTGAAATGTGAAAGGGAAATGAGATTTAGGAGGGGCGAGGAGCATAATGATATGATTAGACTTTGTGTTCCCACCCAACTATCATCTTGAATTATAAACCACATAATCTCCACATGTCAAGTGAGAGAGCAGGTGGAAGTTAACTGAATCATGGGGCAGTTTCCCCCATTCTGTTCTCACGATAGTCAATGACTTCTCACAAGATCTGATGATTTTTTTTTTTTTAATATGGAACGCTTCACAAATTCGAGTGTCATCCTTGCACAGGGGCCATGTTAATCTTCTCTGTATCGTTCCAACTTTAGTGTATATGCTGCTGAAGCGAGCACGATCTGATGGTTTTATAAGTGTTTGCTAGTTCTGCCTGTGTTCATTCGCCCTCCTGCCACATTGTAAAGGTGTCTGCTTCACCTTCCACCATGACTGTAAGTTTCCTGAGGCCTCCCAAGTCAAGTGGAACTGTGAGTCAATTAAACCTCTTTCCTTTATAAATTACAGCGCGTCAGGCAGTTTTTTACAGCACTGGGAGACAGACTAATATTGCAACTTGCAACATCCAGTATATTGTTTTAATGTAATCAAACAGCATTTGTTCTTATTTTGTCTTTATGTATGTTGGGTTTTTTTTGGTTTTGTTTTTTTTTTGGGGGGGGCAGTGATAGGTTGATTCTGATCTAGCTACAAAAGTTAGTGTGATCAGAGTTTATGTAACTGTTCAGATAAGAAAATGCTATCATATCTTGTATTTAACTCCAAACTGGATGATAGTCACCATAGGATGTTTAAGAAATTTACTTAGCAAAGAGAAATGAGCCCATCCGCAGACAGACATAGCCTACCCAAGGCAGATACACGTTTTCCCTTATTCCCTTAAGAGTGATTTGATTTACTTTGGATTTGGTATAGAATCATTTCTGGATTTTAGAAAACTAAACAAGGTTTTACAGCTTGTTATGTTGCTAGGCAGGCAGCCATGAAGAAACCCTAATCTAAAGGATTTTTTTTACACTTAAAATTGAGGTAGGATGGACATACCTGAAAGCATGGTCTACCTTTCTCATCTTCATTCTTGCTAATGAGGCCAAAAAATTATCCTGTCTCCACTATTAATCAGTAAACCCTGGTTTGGGGTGGTGTAATCTGCAGGTCCGTGAGCACTCCTCCCTCCCACTGTAACACCAATGATGCACTCTCTTGGCATGAAATGTGACTTGAATTTTTCTCTCAAACTGGCAACAACAAAAGCAACTTGCTACTAGCACTTCTCTTTTTTCTCTAAGCCAAATTAAATTTTGCCAATTTACACAGAGAACAAACATACTTCCACATTAATGGCTGTTACCAACTTGGTCTTAATCCAGCCTTCATGTTCACACTCCAGTACTTTAGATAAATAGTACTAGTCTCTTCTCCATTCTAGACAGCTCACAAGCTTCGAGAAGTTCAACTGGTTTCTTGCTACCTCCATCCATCCCCATCTCAACCTTCCCAAAAAAGCAACTCAAGCTTTTTATTCTGTTTTTGAAACAGCTTACTTTTTCCATCCTGAGTTTTCCCAAACTATTTCAGGGTTCTGACAATTCTGCCAGTGACTAAGTCTTCTCCTGGGAATAGCTGCCTCATTATCACTATTAAAAACAGTCTACTCACTGATAAGGATCAGAAAACTCATTGTTAACTCAATGCAAATTCCACCCTACCCAATCTAAGAGATAAATGCATTACGAATGGAATAACAGGCTCACCAAAGGAGAGAACTCCAGTGTTTGTGTCAGAACGAAGCTACTAGGTTTTGTATGTATTTCCAATTGTTACTAATATGAAGAATTTGTTACCATGTCCTCCCTCAATAACCAGTTACTATGTAAATTACTAAGAGCCAAGCAAGCAAAAATAAAAATAAAAAAACAAATACACGCACACAAAAAATCCGCATTGAATGTGCTAACATTTTAAAAATAATGCATCCTTCCAACTTTCTGTTTGAGAAATTCTATGCAGTACATGTGTTGTGTGGGTAACTTTTGTTCCTGGCAAGCTAGTCCTCCTGCTTGAAAAATTAGGTAAGTTTAAATAAGAAGTCTTCTCCTAAACCCTCAAATGGAACAACTGCTTAGGAGCTTAATTCTTGCAAAAACGGTATCCAATTAATCATCAATTTATTTTTATCATCATTTTGCTCTTTCTGGCTTGCTCAATACTAGAGGAATGTGACATAATCATAGCCCATCATTCTGGAAACCTAAGATTTTGCTGTAGAGACACCTCCCTCATCCATGCACAGCCATGCTCGTGCAAAAAAAACAGCAGTGTCCAGAACGTTTTTTTTTTTATCAGCCTTGGCCATTTTGTATTCACAAGAGTATATAACTTTCTTCCATAAACACTTCTGAAAGTGTGTAAAGACTATAAACTACCAGAATACTTTTTTGAAGCAAAATGTACACACACACACACACACACACACACACACACACACAGAATACCAACTATATTAAAATACAGTTAAAAGTTTCAAAAACTAATAATACATGTTTGTCTTTTTAACATAATAACAAGCTCCAATAACAAGTCTACTAGTTATCATAACTTCCAAATTGTGATCAACACAAATGATATTTTCATGATGTCTGCAAAAACTACAATGAAGTAAGAATATAGCTGTGATTTCTGTTGATGACAAAATCACAGGTACTGGCAGAACGACAGTGGAAGGAAATGCTAAATTTCAGGCCGAGATTAGCAAAAATAAGTAACTTTTTTCTAAAATTCACAGACCTCTGAAGCTTTTAAACGATAATCATTCTGAAGCATTTAAAGAGATACTGAGATCACTTGGTTCAAACTCTTCATTTTAAAGATAAGAGAATTAAGGAGGAATTTGGAGATACTGCTTGCATAAAGTATCTTTTTTTTTTTTTTTTTTTTTTTTTTTTTTTTGAGACAGAGTTTCCCTCTTGTTACCCAGGCTGGAGTGCAATGGCGCGATCTCGGCTCACCGCAACCTCCGCCTCCTGGGTTCAGGCAATTCTCCTGCCTCAGCCTCCTGAGTGGCTGGGATTACAGGCACACGCCACCATGCCCAGCTAATTTTTTTTTAGTATTTTTAGTAGAGACGGGGTTTCACTATGTTGACCAGGACGGTCTCGATCTCTCGACCTCGTGATCCACCCGCCTCGGCCTCCCAAAGTGCTGGGATTACAGGCTTGAGCCACCGTGCCCGGCCTGCATAAAGTATCTTAATTCCCAATCAAGAATCACTGTGCACTGTTTACAGTAAACCACTGTTTTCTTCTGAAAACCTGAATCTCCTATCTAGCAATACCAAGCAGTTACAATAGAGCGCGAAGAACAATATGTTTCAAGCTAAGAAGATCTATTATAGTTTCTGTGTGCACCTCAGTTTCATCACCTGTAAAATTAAGGTAATTAACCCAACTATGGAAGAATCTTAACATGAAAACCAAATTTTAAAATTCATGTTAAGTATTGCAGCGAGGCAAGGCTGTTAATGAATTCCATGAGAAACTGGACGTTATTCTTTTTCCTTATTGTTCTTTAAGTATCATCAAATTCTGATTTCATATATTAAATATCTTACACTATCCAGCAGATCTCCTGAAGGACAAACTGACTTTAGTTATAAGCCACTTCAAGTGGAAAATATGTTTAGAACAAAAAACTAGCTTTGGAGTCATATATGTGCCTGTAATAAGATATATGTCTGCAATTCTATGCAAAATGCTTGTTTTCTCTGACCTTCTGTATTAGTCTGTTCTCGAACTGCTAGTAAAGGCCTCACAATCATAGCAGAAAGTGAAGGAGGAGCAAAGTCGTATCTTATATGGCAGCAGACAAGAAAGTTTGTGCAGGGGAATTCCCATTTATAAAACCATCAGATCTCCTGAGGCTTAACTCACTACCAAGAGGCCAACAGTATGGGAGAAACTGCCTCATGAGCCAATTATCTCCACCTGGCCCTGCCCTTGACACATGGGGATTATTACAATTCAAGGTGAGCCAAACCATTTCATTCTCCATTTCTAAATCAGTAAAATGGGAATAAATGCTAACATGAGACTGCCATGAAGGTCATTAAATGTCAGTCCCCTTCTCTTAAAGGTATCCATTAGAAATAAAATTTAGAGGTAACCCCCTAAAGCAACAAGGAAATTTTCTAATTTCTGCATTATATTTACTTTTCCCTCCATCACTTGATAAAGTTATTTTAAATCAGAATAAAGTAGGACACAAAAAACCTTTCCTCGTGTCAGTACATTATCTCAGCAATTTAAACACTGAAACTACCAGCCATTTTTTCCACAGAATCTTGTTTAAAAAGAAACTACACAGTAAATACGTGCAATGAAAAAGGAAAGGAATTATAACCAAATTTCTAAACCAGACAAAAGTAAATAAACATTTGGAGGACAAGAGTCACACAAAATAACTTAACAGCTTAAGTATTTGATAACAGAAGTGGGGGGGAGGGATGCCAACAGCAGCAAGGCCACTCAACTTCCCACACATTGTTTTGCCTGCCTCCATTAAAATAATTCAAAGAGGTCAGCTCTAGGCAAGTTAAAGTTAGAGTGACAAATATGCAAACACATTTGAGTTGACTAGAGCAACATACAGAAAATAGAGTAGGTAGTCCAGAGAACACAAAAGGCTAATAGTACAAAGCAGATCTGCTAAAAAGGGGTGAAAAAAAACCATTATCTGTCATGCCCTACTGTCACACCCTTCTATTTGTAGCCATAACTGCAAGCTGTTTTGAAGACAATGGCAATGTGATTAAGGGTACCTTCATGCTGTGCCAAAGCACATATACATAGCAATTTAGAACAATCAGTCTTACTTTCATGAGAGCAAAGGGTGCAGCCAAATGAAATGGGTGGATACCATATTAAACAATCTCAGAATTAGCTAATAGGATATAGGAAAAAATGATTCCAATGCAGATGCTAAGTTCCCTTCCTCCTTTCCACAATAAAATTTTTTACTATTTGAAAAGCACTACTCGAGAAAGGTTTCCACTTACTAAGACCTAAACATGGCGTATTTTCTTTTTTTTCTTTTTTTTTGAGATAGAGTCTCCCTTTGTCACATAGTGGCACTATCTCAGCTCACTGCAACCTCCACCTTCCAGGTTCAAGCACTCAGCCTCCTGAGTGGCTGGGATTACAGGCGTGTGCCACCATGTTTGGCTAATTTTTAAATTTTCAGTAGAAAAAGGGGTTTCACCATGTTGGTCAGGCTGGTTTTAAACCCCTGACCTCAAGTGATCTGCCCGCCTCGGCCTCCCACAGTGCTGGGATTACAGGCA